TATTTTTTTTTGATAATCAACGGTGATGATTGAGAATAGAAAGAGAAATTACAAATAAATAAAAAAAGTGTAAGGGTAAAGCTAGTCAGCTCGCCATTGTAATGCCATGTTTGATAACTTTAATTTTTTTGACAACGCCTTGGTTAATACTTTTAATTTTTTTAAAAAAAAGTTATTAAAAAAATTTAGCTTATATTAAAAAGTTTTAAAAAAAAATTTCTTTTTATTTTTTGTTCTTCTTTTCATAAAAAATTAAAGTCATTTCAAATATACTAATTTTTTTATCTTATATTTTAGTCAAAAAATTATAAAATTACTAAAATAGTATGTTCCCAAACGAGGCCTAGTGTTTCTTTTGTCCCAAAATATAGTTTTTTTTTGTTTTTGTTTTAGAGAATTTAACTTTTTTATTTTTGTAATACAATTATTATACTTCAAAAATATTAATTTTTAAAACTATCATTTGATTTAAAATATTTTTTTTTTGAAAATATCAATTGTTATAATTATATTTTTTGTGTATATTAATATTAATAAATTTAAAAAAATGACAAAATATGAAATTCATGTTGTTTTAATTCTTAATTTTTGAGAAACAACCAATATTTTTAGATAATAAAAAATAAAATAACAGACAAATATGTTAAGACGGAAGGAATAAAATATATAATTAACATTGCTCGAGTTTGTTTTCTTGGCTTTGTTCCATTGCTTGAAAAATAAACATTTTTTTTTTTAAATGTGTCATTTTTCTTATTTTTCAAGTCTTTATTTGGAATAATTTAAAAGTAAAAATTCAAAAATTTAAAAATAAATACTTAATCTTTTTAGTTTTATTTTCTTCAATGGACTTTTAAAATTTTTTTTTTAAAGATTTATAGTTTAGTAGATCTAAAAATGAAAAAAAAAAAAATGTTTAGTAGAAACAAAAATATCGACTAAAAAAACTACTAAAAATAATTGTCAGGCCCTCAAAATGACATGGGAAGAGTTCCATGTGATTGCTAACTCCAAAGGGTAAGATTAACATTGCCATTAACGTAGGATTCATAATCAAATCTCATGAATTAAATGATTAAAAATACTATTTTATTTTTACTTTACCGAAAAAAAAAAAAAAAACTATTTTTATAATCTTTTCTTGATTTTCACACTCCTTTTTTGAGCTTCTCACACTCTAACCTCTGTGAGGCAGCATGACCAAAAAAAAAAAAAAAAAAGTGAGAATCTATTCGTTATGTTTTCATTTTATTTGTTTTCATTTTTCGTGGTTTGATAAACAGAAACAATGAAAAGTTTTAAATTATCTATTGCTTTCGTATAATTTTTATTTAGCGGGAAAAAGAATTCCCAAAACTGAAAGCAGGTTAGGTAAATAGTTGGCCAAATAATGTTTCTATATTTTGTTGAAAATTAAATACAAAAAATAACCAAACATGTGTAAAAAATAAAAATAGTCAAATTTTTTTTTTGTTCTTTATCTGTTTTCCATTATTGTAAGAGTTCCCCTGAAGAACCACAAGTTGGTGCCATATAGCTATGTGGTGTGGTCATAAACTCCACACCTCCAGAATTCTTATCTTGTATACAAGATCTTAGAGTGCAGGTCTCGTTTGTCGAGTGATTTTTTTAGTCAAAAAATTAAAAAGTCATTAAAAAAATTAAAAAATTAGCAATTTATACTAAAAAGTCAAAGATTCTCTTTTCTTTTTACTTTTTATACATCTTTTCGTAAAAAATTAAAAAATTATTCTAAATATACTCATTCTTTTTACTTTATATTTAAATCAAAAAATTAAAAAATTACTAAAAAATTTGTTCTCAAAAACAAGGAGTCTCTCAAGAAGAGAGCTTAATTGAAAACTCACTTATCGAGTAGTGTTTTAATGATCCAACTATGCCAAGTGAAAAGGGTCATCACTCAACAGATAAAAATTGCTCTAAGAGGAAAAGTTTTGGTACTTCGAGATCAATTGTTGACCACCTGGGTTAATGGTATTATTTTTGTAAAAATTAAATTTTTATATTAAAAGTTATATATAGTTTATTAAAATAAATAATATTTTAAAAGAAATGAAAAAAAAGAGACTAATATTAAATATATAAATTTTAACTTTAAAAATAATAACTTAAAATAGATATAAAAAATTACATTGTTATAAAAAAAATATACAATTAAAATGAATGTATAGCTTAAGTTAATATAAACAAAAAAATTATTTAAAATTACTTAAGTACCAATCAGTGGTAAAAAATAAAAGATAATAATAATCTAATCATACAAATATTTATTAAAATTATAAAAATAAAAAATAATAATATTCAAACTATATAATATTAACTGAAACTATATGAATAAAAACAATTATATTCAACCAAACAAATAGTAAGTCAACCTATACAATAAACATAATAATTAAACCATACAAATATTATTTTTTATTTTTATTAACTCAAATAAGACAATAAAAATTAATACAAATATTAACTCAAACCATACAAATAAAAAATGTCACTAAAAAAAATAATCATATATATATATATATATATTAGCATTAAAAATAGTTTCAAAAAAGTAAGATAAAGAGAAATTCAATTCA